TTGTGCTTGCTGAGGAGGGCTACCTTGTCTCCTGAGCCCGAGGCCCCCTGTTCCCTAGGGATGGGGAAATGAGCTCTCTATTCTGTTAATTCATCAACAGCCTCTTAGACCATTGGGATTGCTACCAGAGTGTCTGGCCACGTCCCTGAGCAGGAGCTCACAACAGGAGCTTTCCTGGTACACAGGCTCTTTCCTCGCTCTTCTGTGACGCTGCCGTGCCTCTGACCACTGATTCTCCTTTACATTTGAAACGATATATATTGGGGTGCCTGGGTGGCTCAGTCGTTAAGTGTCTGCCTTTGGCTCAGGGTCTGGGGATCGAGTCCCGCATCGGGTTCCCTGCTCAGTGGGGAGCCTGCTTCTCTTTCTCCCTCTGCCTGCCGCTCCCCCTGCTTGTGCTCTCTCTCTCTCTGTCAAATAAATAAATAAAATCTTAAAAAAAAAAAAAGAAAAAGAAAGGATATATATTAAGTGACCTCCTTGTTTCTCTTCTGGGCATCCTCCATATATTCCACACTCTATACAGAGCACAGAGAACACACCGTAGCTTCTGCTTTACCTAACATACTTTTTAAGAGATGCTTTTCCCTGTGTCCTGTCCCTCACCCACACTGGGTACTTTTACTTTCTGGAACTCTGAGCTCCCTCTGGCTGTAAGGATTTCAAGCAGTCTCCCCACGTCAGGAATGCTCTCCCACTCATTCTCTTAAACTAGTTTGCCCCCTCTTTGTTCAGATCTCAGGGAACGCGCCCTCCTTAGACTAGGTCCATATTCTCTAAAGGGTCCCTTTCCTTCTGAACACTTAGCTCAGTTTGTTATCAGGCCTTCAGACCTGTGGTTCTCAAAGTGTGATTCCCAGACCAGTAGAACCTACACCACCTGGGAACTTAGACATAGGAATGCTCACTCCAATCCAAACCTACTGAGTCACAATCTGGGAACGGGGCACTGCCATCTTTCGTGTAACAAGCCCTCCAGGTGATTCTGGTGAAGGCTCAAATTGGAAATCTGTAGCTTCAGGCATCTTTTGTTCTGTTTTTGCAAAAAAAAAAAAAAAAAAATTCCATATTCGTTTCTAGTACAACTTCTGGCTTATGGTATGTTCCCAGCAATTGTTTTGGGAAGAAAATATAGAAAATTAAATCCTGACCTATATTTTTTTAAGATTTTATTTATTTATTTGAGAGAGAGAGAGATAGCACGCAAGCAGGAGGATGGGGCAGAGGGAGAGGGGGAGAATCTGGAGCGGACTCTGAGCTGAGTGCAGAGCCTGACATGGGGCTCAATCTCACGACCCTGAGATCACAACCTGAGCCGAAATCAAGAGTTAGGCGCTTGATGGACTGAGCCACCCAGGTGCCCCCTGACATATTTTTAGAGGGGAAAAAAAATCTTTCACCAGTGTCACCAACTGACATATCCAGAAATTCAAGTAAATTCCATAAGTTAATGTATTTCTCATCTCTGAATTTTGATTTTATCAGATTTTCTATTGAAATATTTTCAGTGTATCTTGGAGAGATAGATGATCTTATTTTTTAGCTGACCAAAGTGATAAAATAGGTAAATGTGGAATAAGTAAATTTTATTGGGAATAACAGTCATATTGGTATGCTTCATGACTGTCAATGCTCAGTGAAAAATATTTTATATAAAGAAAGCTTAATAAATGATCTTTTTCATGTATCTGGGGGGACATTATTGAGCATTTTTTGACATAGTAACTAACATGATATCCAATTTTCATAATGAAAATTCCTTTTGTTATCATTAGGCCATCAAACCTAATAATGGAAATGTTAAAACAAATTTTTAGAAACAATCCTCACATAGAAAAACATTTCTCATGTTTAAAGGAAATGGTCCCAAACAGGTCTCGAACTTTTGGTCCCCGACTTATTTTAATATCCTGACTCCTTAAAATAAATATGTCAGGGAGGGTTCTCTCATCCTTTGTTAAAGACAGTCCAGTGGCCTTCAGGAGAGTGGTGCCCTCTTCCTAAGCCTACCTGCAGAGCACGCTGGGGCACGCAGCGTTTGCTCCAGTTCCTCTGATCGAGAGAAGACCCGGGCCATGGAAACTGGGCAAACATTGCCCTCTGGCTCTCCTGGCCAGGTAGGAGCAGCCTCTAGAACACTGGCTCTTTGTGCTGAATTTGTGCTCAGAGGTGCAGGTGGCTGATTCCTTTGTTTCAGCAAAGGGTGCCTGGGCAACATGCTTGGAAAAAGACACTGTTTGGAATAATGCACTTTCGGCTAAACGTTATTACATCATGCTAATTAAAGCTCTTTACTAAGGATGGGAACGCACACGTGCCTGGTGGTCTGCCGCTGCAAGGGTCTGTATTAGATTCCCAAGTAGGATAAAAAGTTACCATTCCGAGAATGAAATCTGATCTGCATTCTCAAACCGGATTTGAACACTTTTCAAGTACACGGTTGGCATTTACTCACCTCTAAAGTGCCCTGATTTCAGCCTAGGACCTGAAGTGAAAGTACTTTGAAAGCAACCAGATGGAACCATTTTTTTAAACTCAGCTCACTTAGAATATTTACCATGTGTTCCACCAGAGCAGTGATGACCCCAGGCAATGAAACGGCAGCTGGAAACTTAGTCATTTGAGCATGAAGCTGACTTCTGCCAACACCCTTCACCCAGGGAAATTTCTAAACTCAGAGAATTCTCATTCAGCAGTAAGACACAAATGTTATATTGCTGCTACACTATTAATATCACGACCTCTGATTTTATTGATCATATGTAGCTCTCATGAAATTTGCTGAAGCCAAAATTTCCATTAAGCAGATCCTATTTTCCTAGTAATTTCCATTATTTTTCACGTATTTCTATGCAGGGAAATAAAAATCCCTTCACAAGCTTGTAAATTCTGTCTTGTTCACCTAGTATGGAGCGGGAGCTGAATGACTCCCTGTCCAGAGAATAAATGAATGGAAGTGTTCGGTAGATTTGTCACACGTTGGATATCACAGGTGGTCAGTGGTATTCTTATAATTTCTGACAACGGACAACTCTTTATAATTTCCCCTGGCTTTTGTTTATTTCAGGTGGTCAGAAGTTCTCAAACGTTAATCCCTTCCTCCTCCGGGCAGTGGTTCTTAGACCGGAGCATGCATCCGAATGACCTGATTAACCCGGGATCTGCATTGTTACTAACTTGTCTGATTGGGGGGTGGGTGGCCCATGGACCGCATTTTGAGAAATGCTATCTTTAAGTCTGGTGTTTGTGTAAATGTTACAATATTTTATTTTACCACCTGGAGCTCCCATTAATAAGTGGATACCGGGGCCTGAAAGGGGCTCTGGGTTACAGAAGGTAAACGATCAGTCCTCAGTTTGGTCAATTCAAAATATGACACAAAATAAGGGTCACTAGAATCTCAGACCCTCCCCCTCCCCCATCAAAATATGGTTTCATTGTCTCTTCCGTCAAAATATACGCAGAATCTGACCTTTTTCTTTAACCTCCACTAGTGCCCCCTAGGCCCAAGGCACCATCATCTCGACCCTGAACTATCAGCTCCTTGATAATTTCTCTGCTTCCATCCTTGTCCCCCCTTCAGCCTGCTCCTAACAGGACAGCCAGACTGACCCAGGCACTCATGTGCTCAGTATCCCTCAGTGGCTTCTCCTGTCATAAGTGGGCAAGCTGGAGTCTCACAACGGCCTGTGAGATCCCGCACGCTCTGGCCCATGATGTCAGGAACCTCAGCTTCTGCTGTCCTTCCCTCTTCGTTTCCCCACACTGGCTTCCTCCACTCTTAGAGGCATGCACCTGCCTCAGGGCTGTGACCTCGCTGTCCCCTTTGCTCCCAGCCAGCTACCTGCACAGCCTGCTCATTCGCCTCCTCCAGACTTTTCTTCTAATGCTACCTCCCCACTGAGGCCTTCCCGGGCCATCTGCAAGGACATCATGACTCCCTGCTGTCCTCCCCTAGCCCTCATTACTCCCTTTCTGCTTTATTTTTATTCTTCATACCTTTCGGCATCTAATTATATATATTGTTACTCATTTATCTTACACAGTCACTGTATCCCCCCCTTTTAGGAGGCAACCCCATGAGGCTAAGGGTTTTTTTGGTGGGGGGCTCATTGTTGAATGCTCAGGGTCCAGAAGAATCCCTGTCCACAGGGAGCAGTTAGTAAGTACTTGAGGAATGAATAGATGGATCCACTATCTTCTACTTTACTCTTCTTCTCACCTCGTATAAGTCATATGTATCCTCCAGGTGTGACTCTAATGCCATTTTGGACCATAGTTGTTCTCTCTGCTTTCCTATGGCCCAATCCGGCATCATTTACATCCATTTCCCTCTGTCATTTGTTTGGCTTTGTTCCTCTTCCTGGTGAGACGTGGGTCCTGTTCCAGGACCCCTTGGTTTCTTTTTTCTTACTATGTCGTCTTTCTCCTCATCCGCTTCTGTTCCAGCTTAGCCAACTCAGTCCTCAGCTTTACTCTTACAGCTTTCAAGTCCCTGCTCTATTGTTCCCCAACCAATATAATAAGATGCTATTTGCTGTGCACAAGAAAACAACTGTGGATGTCCCGTATGTTGCATAACCTGACATCAAGGGGGACACAGTGAAAATGAAGTGTGTCCTGAGGAACGAGGGAGGGAGAGAAGAGGAGAGAAAAACCTGTTTGGGGCCCCCGGACTAATTCTTTGGCTATATCATTTATGAGGAGCCTGAGGCGTTTCCTTGAGGCTGTTCCTGAGAATTCTGCCAACTATGAAAACAGAAATTTAGTATTTAGTGAAATTAGACCACTATTTAGGACATACAAGTGATTGTTCCATGAGAGGTTATGGGTTAGCAGTCTTTAACCATATTTATTCAAATTCCTATTCAATGTCTCCACCGTTCATTCATATTATTGATTTTTTGGGTCATATATCATGCTCAGGATGACACGGTGTGAGGGCAGAATCCACAAATGACGATGGAGCAGCATAACATGTAATACAGGCATATAATTACCTGGTAATGAATGTCCTCTCATTAACGAAGATCCACGAAGAGTGCTGATGAGCCATGACAGTCCTCATTTCCCCTTTTCTGAGGTCATCTGAGGATACCCTAAGACATTAGAATAATATTACTGGTATATTCGTGTGATGCATTCAGAAATGAGTTTCTGACTTAAATTGAAATGCTTTGTCATGTCCCTAGCGTGTAAACGTATTTCAGGAAAATTTTTAAGTAGTGTTTCACACATGGGCATGAGGGTTGGCTTGGGGAGGAAAGGGAAGTAAAGAGCCTTCTTTTTTTTTTTTCCATGTGCCATGGATCTTATACTCTGTATGTGAGCCACTTTATAGATGTTATTGTGTTTAATCCTCAGACCATCCCAGCAAGGTGTGGGTATTCTTACCTGTATTTCTGACACTTTGTAAGTAATGGGACAGATCATTCGAAGCAAAGTCTAAATGTCTTTAAGACCTCTACTTTTTGCTTTCCACCAACATTGTTTTTGCATTTCAGAAAGGTTATACAGATTAAAATCTTTGATTTCCTATCAGTTGGTCTGTGCTAAGATTCTTTTCGAAGACTTTTTCTATATCTAAGGGAATTAAAATGAGGATAAGTCAGATGTCCTCCAAAATGTTCAATGGTAAGAAACTAAGCTCAGAGTTCAGAGTTGTAACTACAACTTGCTTTGAGTGAGTTTCCAAATGGCAGCCTCTAAACCTTCGTTTCATAATTGTTCACAAAGTGACTTGTTTGAGAACAAGTAATAATGTGTTCTTTGCTCTCGCCCCCACTCCCCCCATATAAGTTTTCAGAGGTTTAGGTGTTTTCCTCTGTTTTTCTTACTCGATATGTGATTTTGAGAAAAATCCATTTTATCTCTCATGATATACTTCCCATTTAAAATTGAAAATTATATTCTTCACGTAATTTAAGGCAAATAAGTAGTAATAGAAGAGGAACATATGATTTAATTAAAATAATCTCTAAAGAAAAATGGGCATGAAGAGGGCATATGAAAAAATACTAAATGAACCAGAAATATATAACTTGACATACGGTCTTCCTCTTGGTAATGAATTTGAGAGGCGGAGAGCTATGCAATAGAGAGATAGGGAGAGAGAAAGGCAGACAGGATAGAGTGATATTTCTAAGAAAGTACGATACAAACCACAATGCTGGCCCATGATAAATGCAAATGATTTGCAAATTTGTAAGTGAAACCCTGGATCAAAATTGTGCTGAAAATCACTTTCCAGTGGGTGGCCGTATTAGCTACGCTTTTGGTAATGAATGTATCCAGTATGGCTAAATTTGGCATAACTCCTGTTAGAAATACAATTTCTGAATTTTTAGTATTTGATTTGGAATCACTCTAGGGAGTTTTTTTTTTTCGTTTTTCGATTTATCCACAGTTCTGATACTACCAGGTTTTAGTGATGCAGAAGTTATCTTCCTGTTTTATCTTTCTATAAAGGCACAGATGTGCTCAGGATGTTTGAAAGTGCTGTTTCTTGGTGCAAAAGTTACTTTTTATTGAGAAGTATAAAAAGGAGGGGAAAAAAAGGAGAAACTGTATAAGGAACTTTGCCTGGCTTGGAATGATGTTTCTGAAGCCTTGCTGGTTTTATATTTTATAGTAAAATTTCCTGATATCTATGAAAAAATATTAGATGTCTTGCTGTTATCATATTTTTAAAGAGAATTTCCAAAGACTTGTGAAAAAAATTTTCAGTCGGTTTTAAACTTCTGCTTCCTAAGCAATTCAAAGTTATTTTCTTTAAGAAGATATTAAATTCCCAAAGGCTTCTACAATCCCCAAAAAAGACATTTTATAATCATTGAAATGTTTTGTCAACGTGGGAATACAAGATAGCTAAAGTAAAGAAGAAATCCTAGGGCAACGTTTGGAGATGTGCAGAAAAGAGGAAACTGTACTATGTAAACCGAAAAACTCCAGAATCACTGTCCCCAGGCAAGGAAGGATTGCCCAATTTGGTAAGTCTGTTTTTACAGTATTTCTAGAACGAGTTCTCTCCTATATGAGTCTGTGCAAGGGAAGACATTTCTTCTATTGCAGCCACCCATCCCAAATTGGCTGAACCCTGCCCCAGTCCTGCAAACACAATTTTAAGTTTCCAGGCAGCTAAAATCAAGCTCTGACTCGCAAGTGTTGATTAAGTGTGACGTAACATCCTTCAAGTCTCCTTCAGGCTCTGGAAACCGTGGTCAGACATGAAAAACATCCTCCTTTATGTCTTCATCTAAATGGCATTAGGGTGTGACCAGAGATTTTCAGTATAATATTTTCTAGTCATTCCGTTTTGCCGAATTAAATATTTAATTACTATTGATTCAAGCCTATAGAATCATAGGGGATATCACCAGGATAAAAAGTTAGGCTAGAGAGAAATGTTTAATTTTTTATTTAAAAAAAGAGGGGGAGGGACTTCCTCCTTTTACTTCCAAATTAGCTTAGTTTGGTTGGAGTAAGGTGTTTAGAAGGAATTGCTTGTCCTCTTTCTCCAGGAGAATAGCAACCCCCCCCACCCCATCACCCAAAGGAAGGAAAAAGGAAAAAGAAAGGAAAGCTATTTTCACAAAATCCCTGATGCATAGTCTTCTTATAGCACGTTATTTGAAACTATATAATCTATTTGAAAGCTATGAGCACATCTGGCCCGGCAGATTGTAATAGTCTCTAAGCTGAGTGCTTGGCTAATTTCCCTTTATGCTTTTAGCATTCTGACCATCACATCATCTTCTTGTTCACAAACCTTCCTGGGATCTCATTCTTAGCAAATACCATCCAAGTCTCCCAACCTGACATTCAGGTTTTCTGCAATTCCACCAACACTTACTTTTCCAACCTGAAAATTGAAGCTTTTCTCAAATACCAGGCCTATTAGTCTAATGGATCTCAAAGCACTGAGTCTCTTCTCACCAGTTAGTTACCTCACATGAGAGGGCCCTCGTCACCAGAGGCTGAGGTCCAGATTTCTGCTTCTTCCTCATCTCTGCTCAAGTGGGACCTTATCAAGTCTCCCCATAGCCTATCTGCACCTGCTCTGATGCCATTTTCTGCTTTTCACCTTCTACTGTCGTTCTTGATTTATACCTTACTTCTTTTCCTACTCATATCTTTTTTTTTTTTTTTAAAGCATTTTCTTTTTTTTTTTCCTACTCATATCTTCTTGCTCAAAGACTGGTGCTCGTCTAGTTGGGCATATATCCTCTTTTTTTTTTTTTTAAAGCATTTTCTTTTTTTT